ACTTCACGCCTGTTTTCTGTGTGGTCGTGGTATTGCACCGGGCGAGCCGGCCCATTCGTGCGAAGATGTTAAAGCGGGCTCTACCACTGTCGAAATGTGTGGATTTGAATCAGAATCTGCGTTATATCACAACGAATTAACTGGCAACCGCTAAAATTAAGTAGGTAACGACTATCTTAGTTCTAAAAACACGCATGTTCGAATCAATTTACCAGCTGTTACTATGAATAAAAGTATATTACAAACAAATGCTTATACATTTTACCGTGACCTAGTAATATACAGAATAGTATTGATAAAAGGAGGCGTATTTACTGTCCATAAAATTTCTTCATGTTCTTAGAATTCACGGGTAATTTCAGGAATATAAAAGAAATTTAAGAGACGTCAACAATGCTTTTATGAGTGATCGAGGGTCAATGAGTTTCTGTTTCTATTTTATGTATGAAATCAAATGTTTTGTTTATTTTGATACTCTATGGTTCATCCTTTGATCTGTCAATTGTCACTTCTTGTTTTATTTATCTCGTTCCGGCCGATTGTTGAAGGCTATTTTTAAAAAATAAAAGCAGCGCACTAGAATTTGCATAACAAAATAGTTTATTGAATAGAGGTGCGTGTCTAAAAACGGCCAGACAAAGGAAGTGCAAAACTATGGCTTACAAATGTGTTTTATTCGTTTCATTAATAGCTCCATATATTTTACACTGTACCACGGCCGCCGTTCATAATCACAATATCGATACAATTGAAAGAGAATCAGACGGCAGTTACCGCGCCCGAGACTACGACCACTACACTGATGCCGGTCACAACTTGGAGTTCGACCACGAAGCGATCTTAGGTGCAGTTTATTTAATGTTATTGCTCGGCTCTTGCGGCCGCGCGTTCGTTCGTTGATTTTGTAATGGTTTTTAGTTTATTTTGCGATAAGGAATGCGATAGCACGACGCAAGATGTCTGTGAAACACGCTCTATTTTTTCTCGTGCCTACTATTATTGTGCTAACGTATTATTTTACGATAGGCAGTGTAAAAGAGGCGGAGGAATATGACAAGCTCAGCCCGGAAGAGTCGCAGCGGCGGCTGGCGAAGCTGCTACCCAAGATGGATCTCAACGGAGACCAGTTCATTGACCGCAAGGAGCTTAAAAAATGGATTTTGAATTCATTTGCGTGAGTACTTTCATACTACAATATTGTATTTGATGACTTTAAATAATAAACCCATATTAAATAATTTTTACTTCAACATTTTGTCATATTCACCCGACCAAAACTGACACAAAGATTACTAATTGAAATGTAATTTATATTCAAACATTAATGAACAGAACAATTATAAAGCTTTGAATTTTATTAATAAATCACTTGTAGTAAATATGGGTTCTAATAAACTATTCCATTTGGTTAACAATGTCCACTGATTTTTTATATCAGATACATTTGTATGAAATTATTAAAATAAAGCATATATCATACCACAGAGTATTACTAATAGACCAATCAAATTGATTATATAACAATATGTGGAATTAAAGAATGAAGTGTGGATATCACATTCTTTATATTGTTTTCAAAAGCATTTACTCTGTAAACTGCATCCAATAATTGTTTTGTATGTATTTAGTAAGTTATCTCGGGAAGAGGCTCAAGAGCGTCTGCTGGAGGCTGATGAGAACCACGATGGATTGGTGACATGGGCGGAGTACCTGCATGATACATTCGGTGCTAACGATGATGAGGAGGTGGCACCTGATGACACAGGAGACACTGGCATGGTAATACCAGCAATTATATTGTAGCTAATGAATTTATATGTTACTAACTTTCGCCCTTGACTCCCTACGCATGGAATTAAAAAGAAAACAAAAGTAAGTAACTTACATATTCTGCCAGAAATCTCTACATCTATGCCAAATTTCAACAAGATCTGTTCAGTCATTTAGGCTATAAATTCTAACACACATAAATCTAAATTTTGTATGATTTATATAAGAAATATTTTTTTTTATATTAATAAAATTTCTTTAATTTATAATAAAAAATTTCTTTTTGTATTATTAATGAAATAATAAGATTTGCATTATTCTTATCTGTAGAAGTAACTGATTTGCACTCTATTTTGTACCTTTTCTATTAGGATAATAATGTAAATTGGTTTGTGCAGCTTGTGCGTGAAGAGAAGCAGATGTGGGCACTTGCTGACAAGAATGGGGATGAAATGTTGGACCTGGTAGAATTTGAGGTATGCATAAATTTTAATTATTAATTAAAAAATTTAACATCAATCAAACATAATCTACAATTATTCAATGTTTTGTGTTTTGAATATATCATATCATATGCAGGTGTTTTCTAACCCGGAAGAACATGAGGAAATGCAGCCGTTCCTGGTGAGCCAGACAATACGCGAGCGAGACCACAACAAGGATGGACGCATTGACTTCAAAGAGTATCTTGGAGATAGGGGTAAGCAGACTAGTAAGCTAGTGGTTTATAAGGGATACTTTAGGAATTGGCAACTAGATTGAATATATTTCAGCGGCTGCTCATGATAAAACATGGCTGGTGTCGGAACAGGACAAGTTCACCCATGAACTTGACTTGGATGGCGATGGTGCGCTTGCTGAGAACGAGGTGCGACGCTGGATTATCCCGGACAATGAGTTAGTAAATGCTGTACTTTTGGTCCTTCGAGTCGGATTTTTATCTGCAGCAATTTTGTCCGCGCTAAATTAAAAATAAACTTAGTAATAAACTGTGTTCTCCATGTGCCAAATGTATTTGAGATACATTAAGCCTTTTTTGAGATATATTAACAAACATCCACCCTTGTATATTTTCATATTTCTATTTATAATTTCATATCTTTATTCTCTTATTTTTATATATAATACATTTCACATGATTTTCTTAAAAAAATAACAAAATAAAACATATTATATAAAAAAATAGTAAGTCCACCGGCTGCGGAATCCGATGACTCAAGCAACCAGTGGTCAGGGCTGCAGAGACAGGAACCTCCTCACTAGTCGTGCGGTTTCTAAAATAACCGCCTTTTGAATCGGGCCCTTAATCCAACTGTCTAGCGAGAGCTTCTTGAGGTGTTGGTCGAAGCTCTTCGCTATCAGCCCGTGTGCCGAAACGACTATCGGAATAATGGTAGTCGATTTCATACGCCACATGGCGGTAATCTCGTGAGCCAAATCTAAATATTTTAATAGTTTTTCATTTTCGGCTTTCTATTTATAATATTATTATGATTATTACTTGCCATGTCTTACACAACTAATTATAACTGTTTAGGAAATATCACATGTTTATTTTCTTTTTTTATTAGTTATCTTAGTCCCTAATCTATAATATTACAAAATATTATAAAGAGGAAACATTTGTTTCTGGAATTTTGTATGTATTGAAATAACTCAATACCTATTGAGCCAATTACAAAAAAAATCTTTCTCTATTAAAAAGCTATGTTATCAGTAACATAGGCTATATTTTTTAATTTCACGCGGGCGAAATCGCGAGCAGTTGCTTGTCTGTAATAATTCTTTTAATTTACAAACTCTAGTGTTTATATTTGCGTTCAGGGAAATAGCTGAAGAGGAGGTGGAGCATCTGTTCGCATCAGCTGATGATGACCACGACGAGTTGCTGTCGTTCAGCGAGGTGCTGGCCCACCAGCACGTGTTCGTGGGCAGCGAGGCCACTGATTACGGAGACCACCTCGTTGGTGACCGCTTTGATGATGAACTCTAGACTCAAATAATCAAGGTTTGTTTCACAATATACATGTTGAATCTCTCAAGTCATTTTGCCAATTTACCATCCTTTTATGTTCTTGGCCATTAGTAAAACTATTATATAGTCATTTTTAACTACAAACTAATGGACCAAAGATTGGTCTTTGTATACATTTAAATTGTTTAGGGCCCGTCCCACCACTAGCTGATAGCCTTAGCTTCCTTACACAAAGTAACATTCGATTATCGCTATCGCTGATTGAAAAGTTAAAAATGTATGAAATTGACAATTTATATAGATTTGTCACATGTTAATTCCTACTGTAATCAATTTTGACACATTTTGACCGACTTCCCAAAAGATGGATACTCAATTCGTCTGTATGTTTTGTTGATTCTACTAACGATGTTAATCTAAACTCACTTTGTCTATGGTTATAGCTTAAAAATGACGTCACGGAAAGGAACAAAATCCGATATTTCCATCATATTTTACATGTTGCATTATTATCAGACAATTTACAATTTGGTGGGACAGGCCTTTAAACTATTGAGATATTGAAAAGTAATTAATGGCTTAACTCATGATGACGGCAACTTGTTTCTTATATACTTTTAATATGATTGTTGGTCCATTTTGTATGACTTTCTTTATACCTCGTTTGTTTTATGAATAACTTCCCATTGCATATTGTACTTACAACAGAGGCTGTTTTAATAGTATAATAGTACATTGTCTTTACATATCTCTGAAGTCTCTGATCTGTTAACTTGACTTTGGTCCTTTGAGTCGGATAGTTTTAATTTCAAAGGTATATTTAAACTACTTAAGTGTATTTTTAAGAAGTTTAACGTATTTAACTTATTGTATACATGAAAATAATTTTAAACTTCATATAATAAAATTATCAATAAATATGTAATTCAATAAAAATGTTGTAAATGCTAAATTTTGAAGGTATTTTGTCATTTTAAAGAGTATTTGTCGTTTTCTATATAAATCGTATATGTATCAAGAAAAACTAAATGGTATATATTTACCATACATATGTATATTAAAACTGTAATAAATATTTAGATTTGTTGTATTTTTAGAATCGGAAACCTTCCTTTGTAAGAAGTTAATTGTTTTGCAATTTAAACAATGCTTATGTTTCAACACATTTTGTTTTAAAATTGTTTTTATTGATCCAAAACACTTTAGTACAGTTAGTGGGACTGTCTCCTGAGCTAGTAATAACTGTGTTTCAGGAGGCAGGGCCTTTTAACGATTGTCTTATTTCTTTATATTCAGGTTGCACAAATGTTTGTTAAAACTTTAATAACTAGTCAATAACATCCATATTTTATTTGCTTACTGTAACATATAGACTTTAGTAAATAATTCCTTGAGATATTAGGTATATATTTTTATAATTACTATTTACATAAAAGTAACCATTAGAAACTAATCATTTACTTAATTGAAATTTTATTAGTTAAATGTTTAGTGATCTAGTCTTAGTTTCCACTCGAAACATGTATAGAAACATTAAATTATCTTACAAGATACTAGAGAACATCACCAGCTCATTATATGTACGGAGGGGCTTGGAGCTAACCCTAAGTAAGTGACTAGGCCATAGCCAACCTGCACTGCGGGTTGACTTCACACATATCTTTGTATTTCTTCGTCGATATGTTGCATTACAATGTTTTCCTTCACCGTAAGATCGTCGGTTACTAGATGTTTCTGTACAATTTCGATAAATACTGTATTTAGTATGTATTTGTTTGGAGTTCAATTTATGTCTCCATTTGTATCTTGTGTGCTTAGATAAATACAAAATAAACCTTATAATATATGATTATTCTTTTTATTGCTACACAAACCCCCTTCATTTTATAAAGTGGTCGCATTTAATAGAAATGATAAATTATGTTTACTCTAACTGTTGTTCACGACTTCGTCCACCTGAAATTATAGTTACTCACTGATAACGTACCTTTTTAATGGTGAAAGAATTTTCAGTAGGTTTTGAGTTATTTAACACATACAAAAATACAAATCTATCCCGTTTTGTAATATTAGTAGAGATATGACTATACGATATTTACTCGTATTTTATGGATTTATTTTATATTATGTTGATAATACCTTAAAAAACTTGTTATTTCTATTAATTATGACTAAACATTTATCTTTATTTAAAGGATGTGAACTTCTCTATTGAAAGCTTCAAGTTACTTTTTATGAATTCAGTATTCTCATTCTAACATTACCAGATTAGAAGTTTGTAGGACAAATAAATAAAACACATCGGTATTCATTTACAATATTTTTTTATTCAATATAATAATCTTAATAAATCCAAAATATTTACACAATACAAAAACATACAATATGACCTCGATCGACGTGCTCCGGAGCCGAGCGCATCCTCTGCGAATGACTACTCTATTACATAACACATAAGGTACAATCCGGTACCGCCTTCCGTTATATTGTGACGTCACATATTACTGCCACACATTCAAGACAGTTTTAATAACTTTTCAGTTTAAACTGTGTGTAAGAAAGTTTAACTGTTAATTAAATTGTACAGTTTTAACTGAACAGTTCTGTTGGAACTGACAATAACTAAGCGTCAGTAGCTCTTGTTTTTAACATCTTCGCACATATATTACTAACTTGTATTGAAGCCAGTTTTTCAATGATATAAGGAAGCGGTTACGCGGACGCAACTTATTGCACTCTGGGGCTCGTGGGAAGTTTTTTACTACATAAAATATTGCATAGCGATAGATAATCTATCTCAAATTGAATACTAGAATATCTGAATCGTCTAAATGTTGATAAAAACTAGATTTATTTTCATGGCTTGATTTAGAAATTAGCAAGTTGACGAATTTAGAACAATCCTCAGACGAAAAATTAAAAAAAACATTTAAGACAATTAAATTTTTTACCATGAGTGCTTTAAAAATATTGCTATCTCTTTACTCCTTTGATTAAAATGAGATAACAGTATGATTATTTAGTTTCTATAGTAGAAACTCAACAAATAATTGTGTAAAACTATTATTTTATGAAGAGCTGAACGCACTCGTCTCGGTGTTACCTGTCATCTTTCCGTATATATAATTTATTTCACTAAATCTAATAAAACCACATGACGCTTTAAATGTGTGATTTTTATGATGAAACAAATGTCTACAAGGTCCAAATATTCAAACATAACCTGGATGCTGTTCGATACTAACTTTTAAATAGCAGGATGTTTTCAATAATTCCATCTCATCCTCGTGACAAATGGAAACTACATGACCGTACACAATGTTATAATAATAATTAGAAATTAAAAAAGTATTGCCAGTCGACAAAAAGCGATTAAGCTCCGTGTTGCCAGATAAACAAAGATTTATTTCTACAAACTATTGTAGTGTTCAGATGCATCCGCGGCGCTAGTGTGCCGCCGGCATCCTTCCCTTGGAATGCGATATTTTCTCAATTTGTAGAAAACTACACAAAGCTACGTAAAATCCGAGTGACACTTCACTTACAGCGTACATAATTACACATATACATAAGGGTTATATATAGAACATTTTCGTCCATTTCATATAGTAATTTTTAAAACTATAATCATCTAAGTGAGCCGTGTACAACTAATTCATTATATGCATATTTTGAACTTAACAATGCGGAAATACGCGGCTGTGGGGGGGGGGAATAAAGTACAGTGCAGTGCAAAAAATATAAAACAAACAAAATAGAAGCTATGTAATTTTTCATATGTTTACGTAAAAAAGCATTTTGTGGGGATAAATTAAAGGCGTGTACGCGGCGGGGACATGACGTGACGTGACATGACAATGGAAACGTGTCATGCATATAAATGCACCTCCACCAAGAGCTAAAGGACGCGTTCTAATTGGAATAGCGATTCTAACATTACATTTAAATTCAATACATATCAAAGTTCATTATTTTGACGTATTTTTTTATACAATTTAAATATCCAACAGCAACAATTGCCAACAGAAACGAATTACTAAAATATTTTGCACTTTGTAAGCAATTACGATGTTTCAAAAGGCGTATCCTCGCTGCGGTACACGAGTTATAATTACACTATATTTATTACTTTACGATTACAAATATGTTTACAATATACCTAATTACCGTAGCATTGTGAGACGCTCCGCCGCAATGTTAAACCGCGCTTGTCAGTGTCACAGTTAAATTTAATCAACGATTATAATAAAGTTAAAAATTACTACCTAATCTCACGGCGCCAGTTTAACTGATCGAGTGTTGCCATGTATATTGCATACTGTTTACAATTTAAGTAGAATTTTCATCGACTTTCGCAGAAAGCCCTAACTATCCCGCATTAACTATATTTAGCTGTTACAATTAACAATTCATATACATTTTATTATATTTTTTCTATACAGAAAATGTATCGACGAACATTTTTAAAAAACTTTACAACACCGAGGAAACGTTAAAAAATTATAAACAATAAATACCATCGCTAGTATGTTGAAATTATATACGTATTATAATAAAACTTTTATTTGTATTTACCGAGATGCGGTAAGTATTAGCTAAATTAAAGTGGCAACACCGTCGTGTTGGAACAAAAGTGTTGCTATGCTATAAAATAGATTTGCCAAATACCAAAGCCTTAGTGAGCTAGAGGCGCGGGGCGGGGCGAGGGCGGGGCGCGGGGCCGGGGGCGGGCTCACCACAGGCCACGCCCATCCATGCCCTCATATTTCAACTGTAAACAACAAAGCAAGCGTAATTAATAAATTGTACTCGAAAATACAAAGAACATACGTCCAGCAGTGGGCAGAGAAATACACAAGAAGATGATAATACAAACAACAGTTTTAGCTCTATTAAAATCCTTATGAGTGTGAAAAAACAGTTTTATAATGTGCTTGCACGGACACGTAAGTGCGTGTGTGTATAGGTTGGAGGTGTAAGTTGGTGAAGGTATGTGTGTGTGGGGGAGGGGGAGACGGGTCACCTTGTCGGCTCGGTATCACTTGCAGCAGGTGGAGGAGCGCGGCTGCTCGCCGTCCGCCAGCCGGCGCGCGCCCGCCGCGCTGCCGCCGCCCGCGCCCTCGCTCTTTGGTAACTTGTTCGCTGAAAACACACACAAACACTAATTACACATATCTATTACAATAATGACGAAAACAATGTACATATTAGTTAGAACTGGTCTGCTGGAATTAAAAAAAATGACAAGGAGCTTATGTTTTTCTGGATTACGGAAACATTTTGCAACGTGCAACGTTGAATGTAGATGTTTTTTCGTGCAAATTTCATCGAGTCCTTTGTTCTCTCTCTTTCTAAAACATCCATCCATTCATCTAAACTTTCGCATTTGCAATAGTAAGAAGTAAGATAGCATAGAGAAATTTCGTCTTTGGTTACCAACAATTTGAGATTGATAATTGAAGTTAGTTAGTTATAAAAATTATACAGTAATACCAACTTACCGATAGCTAGGAATATATCGTTAACGTTCATGGCGGTCTTGGCGCTGGTCTCCATAAAGAGCAGGCCGTTCTCGTCGGCGTAGGCCTGCGCCTCATCGAACTCCACCATACGCTTGGCTGCGAGGTCGCTCTTGTTGCCCGCCAGCGCTATCACGATCGACGGCGACGCCTGCCGCTGTAACTCCTTAACCCAGTTCTTGGCGCGCCCGAATGTATCCTAAACCAGACAAACCAATCAACATAATCGAAAAAAAGTAAACGTCGATATTCAGTCTATCGATTCCCGCCAAAAGAGCGCGCCTATCCTTCATACTTTAGAATGACACTGACAGATGTTATAGGGACGAGACTTGGTATGACAATCTAGTGTTGTGCCGCTACACCGGTACGGTATCGATTTCTTAACAGTACCTTATTACATTTATTATGAGTTATTAAAGGGTAACTAGCTATGTCTTAAAAACTTAGAAATATGAAAATATTCTATGTTCCTGAAATGCAAATTCTGGAAACCAATTGTCAAGTTTTTCAAGCTAGATTCAATTTTAAACACATCTTATGTTTTCCGTAAAATATAAGTAGTTTTTCAGTTTGTAGCGAAAATATTTCCGTTTAACCATAACATTTCAGCCAGTTTTCTAGGTCAATACGGGTTGCATGACCAAAAAATATTAAGTCAGAAAAACTATAATAAAACTATATGTGAATAATTCAACGAGTAACTAACACAACAAATAGTTAATTTAAAAGAATATCGTTTCACTACAACTAAGACGTCATAAGAATGTGAAATGCTTATGTAAGATGCATACAAGCCAATATACGCAGATTATTGATTATTTTACTCAACAGCAAGCGATACTGCACTTAAAGGGTTGGTTTTCCATTCTAGTCGAGTTTTACGATACAAACATTTTCAATCATAAGCCTAGAAAGTACAAGTAACAAGTCCCATCTACAATCTTCACATTAAACTAAATGGTTTTATATAGTTAAAAAAATAGGCATTATTTGTCTAGCCATATAAAACTTAACATGCAGACATTAAGAGCTATGGTTACTATTTCAAAGTTGCCATAAAGGTTAGATAACCTTTGTAGTGTAGCTGTCTGTCTAGATTTGCTACATGTCTAGTCGGGGAGATGCCCTTGACCTTAGCGAAGACTTACGCGTGTTGGTAATTCAATTGTGGACATAGCACGCACGCTCGACGCCCCACCCTAACCGTATTATCATTGCTTTTATTTGCTTCATATATTAATAACGATTTACATGTTACTTATATTGGTGTAGTAAACATCGATATAAACTGGGTCTGAGACAAAGACTTTGTTTAAAATGTATATAATTTGAAAGTGACTGCGACGGCAGTAATGCTGTGACGTCACGCAGCCCACCTGTATGACTTCATTTATGTAATGATCCTCTTAGCGGATCGCGTTCACACCAGCGTTGATTACGCACATCTTCACAATCAACTTACACCCTTAAACCCCTTCTCCACTAGTACGACAAGCTATGAGGTATACCACTGGCGAGGTTGCTTCCATGAAAATAACCTTATAAAACCGGCATCAATGTATTATAATATGTACAATCGAGGAAACTCGCAGTGTTCCAACAAAAAAGATATGCGGAACCAAAACCAATCTAACGCAGCTTATAAATGTTTCTGAACGATAAAAAGGCATGTTACATGGCTAGTTTCTTTTTATTATCATCCCTTTCGTTTGCACTCACTACTAATTAGTTATTTATAGGAAGAGGCGGAATTGTATCTCGCTGCAATGTACAAAGCAATTTTTCCTGAAGTGGAACAAGATATATTTCCGCGACTGTACAGTTAGACGATGACGTAAATGACGATTATTCTATCGTTAGGTCAAGCTAATTTTTGCCACTAGAACCCATCATTTGTAAGATTTACGACAAAGATATTGAGCAGTTCTCGTACGAATACAAAAAGCGATAGAAAAGTTTTACGCTAGTTTATTTAGTTAACTGTAGATTACGTTTACCGAGGGCCATCCTTTTAAAACATATATTGGCAACAACCGGCCTTCTGTAAGGTATCATCGTCACGCGAGTCATTTTGAAAAAACAGATTAAAAAAATACATTAGGTACTTATACTTAGAGTGACAGTGAGGCAAAGATGCCTTTGATGTTGCGGCTGCGAACGTATTTGTACACTAAAGTTAGGCCCTCAACATGTTAATAGTTGCCCATACCTGTTTATAACTTCGTGCGTAGTTGCAGTTTGTGTGACAGCATAAAGAAGCTATATAAAAATGTTATCACGTGGCAATGTTATCTGTACAAGTAATCCCACTATCACACGCAACCTCTTATCCTTTATGTTAATAGCTGATAAGTGAATTCGGTGTTTAATTATACCTCTCTAAATTTAATGTAGTTAATAAATACTCAAATTGGTCTTTTAAAGTAAAAGTGGCCTAAAAAAAATTACGTTTTTTTTTTACTTTTTCTCAGTTTGTAACTAGCTTTAGTGCGTAAATTATATATTCGTTGATGGAAATTATAACAGATGTCTATTTTAGTCCCTCTTCCTTTCCCACCCTTATCTCATGAGGAAAGGCCGGGAAGGAAAAGTGGATTTGACAGCGGAGGAGACGCACAGGAAGGTCAAACATCCTGTTTATGTGAGTCTCCTCGTCCGTCGATTCAGGGTAGGCAATGCTTGCAACTGCGGATGTCTATGGGCAGCGGTCGCTTCGCCATATCGCAGATACAGGTGGCCACTAGCTCGTTTGCCACCTTATGTTATAAAAAAAATGTTAACCCTGCACATGTAGTAATAAGCAAATATTTTGATAATCCTTTGGGTTTATCAATTTTGATAAACTACTTTACTTTAGTCCAACTAGGATTAAGGTCAAACCTATATCTGTACCTAGATAGAAAAACACTTGTCATGCAATATCTATACTAATATAATAAAGCGTAAACACACACTACTTCGTTATGGGGAATGTTATGTTATGCGACAAGACTATGGGGACATAAACCAAAAATTATTGTTATTATTGTTAAGAATGCATGTGGATGGCTACTAAGAAAGAGGAAGACCGAAGAAAGTATTGTGAAAGAGGATATGCTTAAGAAAGGAGTGGATTCACATGACGGCTGATATATATGGAAGAACAGCACATACTGTGCCGACCCCCATAAGGGATAAGGGAAAGTTGATGATGACAAATGTAAACAACAAGTTTTTTTAATTTCATACGGATGAAACCGCACGGGAACAGCTAGTAATTAATATTTCAGATGTGTTTGTTTATCGGGCGATGTCCGATGTGGGCGTACACGATAGATGCGACTGAACGATTCATGTGAACGAATGTAATTACGATAGTTGGAGTGAATGGAAGTACGTTACTGTTCCTTGATAGGAACGATAGTGTCTAGTCTATTTATAAACAGGTTAATAAACTTAGGTCAACGTTCTTGATATAAAAAAAATAATTTAACCCTAATCGGGACTTGTCTTTATTTTCTTAGCAAACAGGGGCAAAATATGTTTCTAAACAAGTGTCCAAGATTTATGGTTTTTTTTACATATCAGTATTACAAAACTCTTGAATATGACACTTGTTTAATATTTGATAACAATATATTTGCATGTAAAACTGGTAATCAGGGACTGTAACTCGATAATTTCATGTAAAATTGAAAACTAGAAGATTGAAAATGTTTCGACAATTTTATCGAGTAATACATGAACTAAGAAGTACTCAAGTCAACTTAAGAAGGAATTATAGGCTAGTGTGTTAATAATTTAGCATAATTAATTTACATTTTTAATTTTCACACGCCCACGGCAAACGGGCGACCAACACGATCGCCAAGTTATATCGATTTTTTTGTCCAAGTCTATAAACGCCGCATACGAATGTTTTTCTACAAAAACATATACAAAAGAAAAATGTTTCTATTTGTATTACTATGTTTGAAAAGCATTTTATCTAATTCACTAAACAAGCTAGCTAACTTAAGCTCAATTGAAACAGATTACTTCGACAGAATAGCAATAAGTAAATACTTGACTTTTTCTTACAACTCGACTAGCTTTAAAACCAGTTTTAAAGATATACAAACATTTTTATAACATACGAGACGATGGGAACATAAACCAGAAAGTGTTAAGATTGAATGGATGGCTACAAAGGCAGAGGAAGACCGAAGAAAGTATGGATGGATTGTGTGAAAGAGGATATGCCTAAGGAGTGGATTCAGATGACGGCTGATAGAGATGTATAGAAGAGCAGTATACTGTGCCGACCCTCCGTAAGGACAAGGGCAAGTTGATGTTGAAACATTTTAATTATTTCAAACAACATTTTAATCTTTAGATGAAAAAATATTGTGAAATAGACACAAGTTATACATTACTTTATAAATTAAAGTATTCAAATATACCTGTTTTTATATCTGAATTGATCTACAAGCTTAACACATCTTAATCTCGTCTGAATATATTCAACCTTGAAAGTATAGTATGATTAGTATAGTATTAAGTACATCTGTCATCTGTATGTTCTGCTTTTTTGTTATTCTTTGTCTATGACTTAATTTGGTTGTAAATTTTGAATATTCACAAATAAGTATCAAGTATATTAGAGCGTAGTATAAAGTTGACACTCACCTGGTTGGTGATGTCGTAGACGACGATGGCTGCCTGCGCGCCGCGGTAGTACATAGGTGCTAAGCTGTGGTACCTGCAGATTTATATTGCATTTATATACGTACATAATAAAAAGCCAATACGCTACAGTTATTTTTTGAACTAAGCCTACAATTTTTTTTAAGCTACTATTTGAGGATAATTGAAATAATTAAAAAAATACTAAAGCACATATGCCTCTTATACACATGTGTTATATCTATACTAATATTATAAAGAGGAATGATTTGTATTTTTGTATTTATTCGATTACTTTATCGATATTCGAATATTCTTTCACCGTTAGAACCGTTATTTGTGAGTAACATAGGCTACATTTTTTTATTTTTTTTTTAATTTATAATTCAGTAGATTGAATGACTGATAACTACAATGTCTAAAAGTCTTTCCGAACTATAAAATACAATGAATTTATAAATTGTTTGAATGTACAATTTCTTTTTACCATAATTTCACTGCTAGTACATAATATAGGGCATCAAGGAGAAATTGCACAGTCGTCTTCACTTTCGTAAGACGTGCAAAGTTTACGCAATAACCTAAGAGGAACATTTCAATGCAAAGCCAAGGGCATACCGCGACTCTTATACGAGGATTGTACATTCTTGGTACTTTACATTTATTTTCATAAAGTCACGTGATGACTTACATACATCAAGACAGAATTGTATGTCTATTTACCACCTATATACTAATGCAATATGTAAAAATTTATGTATAATAGTCTTGATAGGTGAATGGAACTATAATCACTGCACAGAGAATTAATTATATTAGTTGTGTAGAGCTAGGTAAAAAACATGGATTTCCTTTTATACATTCCATTGCTTACAATATAATCAATTCAAAGAATTCGTTAACAGAATGTTTTTATCATACTACTAGCTTTTACCCGCGAATCCGTCCGCGTGGGATAAAAACAAAAGCAAGTATTTTATGTGTTCTTCCACACTATCCTCTACATCTATTCCAAATTTCATTAATATCTGCTCAGCCGTTTAAGCTATAAAATCTAACTATGTATGATGTTACATACATCCATCCATCTAAACTTTTGCATTCATAACATACTAGCTGTTGCTCGAGACTTCGCCCGCGTGAAATTAGAAAACATAGCCTATGTTACTCACAGATAAATTACCTTTCTAACGGTGTAAGAATTTTTAAAATCGGCTGAGTAGTTTTTGAGTTATTTCAATACATACAAAAATACAAATTTTTCCTCTTTATAATATTAGTATAGAAGTATGAAGTAAGACTATAAAGATTTGTTTTGGTTCACACTTTCTTCACTAACAAAACACAAAAATACTTAATAACCTATTTAGATCTTCTGCTTAAAATCTATACATTAATTAAAAACAATAACACAAACCTCTCCTGTCCCGCTGTATCCCAGATCTCAAATTTAACAGTAGTGTCATCGAGGCATACAGTCTGTGTGAGGAAGGCCGCTCCGATCGTGCTCTCCTGGTACTCGTGGAACTGGCCCTTGACGAACCGCAGCACGAGCGAGGACTTGCCCACCGCCGACTCGCCCAGTAGCACCAGCTTGAATTGGCATACCTTTGTCTGGGGCGCACCGTTCGGCCTCTGTGACGCTCCGCTTCTGTTTGTCGCCATCGCCTGATAACATTTTTTAAACTTAGGGTCTGTCCTAATAAATTGTAAATTGTCTGATAACAATCAACATGATAAAAATATGATGGAAATATTGGATTGTTCCCTTATCTGACGGTGACATCATTTTTAAGCTATCTGGGCCTCTATCAGCCAGTGGTGGGACATGCCCTTAAAGTTTAGTACTCTCCCAGCTTCTGTACTTAAGTATTCCATTGCCTGCTTTTATTTTCTAATGCCTATATCTTAATGCATTATTATTTAAGCTTGTTTATTAAATTGCATACTGATATAGATACTGGCATCAAGATATAATCCAAATGATAAACATACTTTGTATGTAAATTAGTTGAATATCAGTAGATATGTTGATGAGATGATAATATAAGATATACATAAATACCACAACATCCAGGATACATTTATTTAATAACAAATTCAAGGCTATGGCTCATTTTCTTTATAAACAACTGATTTTTACATATTAAAGAATCAACAACTTAACAGAGACAGTATATGACAAAGTTTACAATAACTACTGTCATCCTAAATGGAGAAACCCATACAAATGGCAGAAATCAACAGGAACTTTTAGACATTTTCTTACTGTAAATGTATAGTTGATTTTTACATATTGGAATAATTATTTCAATAAGATTCTAATATGAATTATGCCAAAAGAGTTAAGTATCAAATATTTAGTAACATAAAGAATAAACAACTTCTGTTTACAAAACCAGGTCATAAGCAGCGGTGTTAAAAAAAGACAATGCAATAATCGGCCACAAAAAAGTCCATTGACTTTTCAGCTTGCGGTAAACAATTGACAATGACAAGAGACAAAAAATATAACAAGAAAAATATGTTAATCAGGTTTGATTTTAACCAACTTCCAAAAAGGAGGAGGTTATCAAATTATCTGAGGCCTTTTTGCATTATTTTTATATAATACTCAATATGCAACTTGAAATTAAATCACGGGTAAACAGTGTTAATAAACCAACCAACCTTGTCCTGGTAACTGAGGTCACATAAATTGACAACAATGGCTGTACATTTAAAATACCAACAAATGGTTTTTTTTAATTTGAAGGCCATAAATTAGCCATTTAGCAAAGTTTTTCTATGTAATGAAAGCTTAATAACTTTGAACAAAATATTTGTTATCAAACAAAAATAATTTTCAACAATAATATGAAAAAGTGTTGAAAATTATTCAATTCTTACAAGACAACCTCAACTTTAGTCAAAAGGGCAGATTTTACTTCACTAATTAGGAAAAATGTATTGTGTAATAGTGTTTTTGACGGAAAATTTACAAAAACAATGAACTCACCTGCTATCAGAGACACGAAAACACAATTTGAAACCATTGACTTATTTATTATTAAATATCGTTGTATTGTATAAAAAATTAAAAACAACCTCTACATCAGACAATAAAGCGATCGAGACTAAGTGAAAAACAATCGCAATAAAGAACAACACCTAAGAACAGTAAACAAGAACGTGTTATCTTTGGGCGCTATCATAGTGAAATCACAAAGAAACTTTGAACAATGGCATTTAATCTGCGATCATTTGGCGCAGTTGTGGAACCTACAATCACGGTTTTTTTCAATAAGTTATCGGCCGCAGACGAAAGCGCGTCTGCACCGCTGATGACTAACCATATCTACCCGTATCAACCCATTTCCTTCGATATACGAATGCTGAGTCGCCCTCCACCAAATCAGCTGTACGCTACGAAATCACAAGACGACTTCTTTACACGACTAAATTAACCAACCAGAAGCTATTTAGGTACGAATACCAGATCTAATCACCCTGCAATGAGTTCATATTCGACAATATTGAATAAAATGACGCATTTACTTGATTATAAGGACATGAAAGACATACCCTCCCTGTTATTATATCGACGATATGCACTTATTGGTGGGCGACAAATCCTCACAAGGTCGCCGTGATGCCGAAAATCTCATTAATTACACACTTATACAAATATAATCATTAACTTGAATTGTTAAACTGGAAAATCTAGCACAGAAATGCGAAATGACCACGAACAAACATGGAAGCGAGAGAGCGAGCAAGACGATTTCATTAAGTTGCGTCTATGGGGAAACCTTTCTTTGTCTATGGTATTAAGATATAGTTTATTTACTTTTTAATAGTGTAAAAATTTTTAAATCACAACTAATAAAGCTATTTGTACTTGTATTTTATTTAAAATCACTATAAAATTCGTGAGAATCTTAAAAATGAGAGACATTTTTCTCTTTCTTTATGTCAACATCACTGTCCGGCTATTATGCCAAAGTCAAATGTCAATGACATACTATCATACTATTCAAATTGCACGTTGGATTTTTATTGTATTTGTTTATGCTGAACACAACACAATTTTATAGGATTCAGCAATTTCTAAAAGCAATTAACAGGCAGGTTTGTACATAATTTTTGAAAATGAAGATAACGAGATATAAAAAGGTACAAAAGTATTTAAAATTCTATTACAACAACTTCGGTTTCCACCAGCCTTACCAAGTGCTTCTAGACGGCACGTTCTGTTTTGCAGCTTTTAAAGTAAGTCCTATACATAAGTCAATGAAAAGAGAAGACCTAGTTTTGCTTACTTCTATACAATGATCATAATATACTATCGCAGGCATATTACCCAGCTTTACTATGCCTCATTATTTACGTGTGACATGTAATCAGCATGGACAGTAAGTACCGTCGCGTTGGCCGCCTCATCGACATAGTGGATGAGGAGTGGCGCATGGAGCAGCTCCCCCACATGGACATCCGCGTGCCCGTGGAGGAGCTGCCCGATCCTGAGGCGGACAGCGTCGACTCTCACCTCACCTTGAAGGAGCAGGCCATGCGCTGGCAAGAAAACTTCCCAGAGTCCGCCAGCAGTAAGCAAAACTAGGTATTCTTTACTCATATTTGATAGTGTCATTAGAAATGTTGTGTTTTACTAAATTGGAGCATTGTGTTTCAGGAACAAATTAATATTAGGGAGCAACTACCTAAATACCTTAACGGACAAGCAAAATTATTGACAACAAGATGTATTATAATAGAAACAGAAAAAATATCCAAAAAAACACATGGTGCCCTTACTATATTAAAGCAATTTGGTATCCATGAGTGTGGCCATAAAGAGCCAGTGATGGGGTCTCAATGCATTTTGTCTATGGTTGGTAAAAAAAATGAAAAGCATTATATACTGGCATCACAAGACAGAGATTTACAAGATAAAATGAGAGCTAAAGCTGGAGTTCCATTGTTATATTTACATAATAAATCGCCAACATTAGAAAAACCTAGTAAAGCTAGCTACAATAAAGTTGGCCAGACTCTAGAGTCTAATTTTACTTTTATCACTCCAACACAAAATGAATCTTTGAAGATTATGAAAAAAGTACTAGGAGTAGAAGAAAAAGATGATACAAAAAAAGTTGTTATAAAAAAGAAAAAGCCACACAACCCTAATCCTTTATCATGTAAAAAGAAAAAAAAGAAGCCTGGTGTTGCCAATAAGAAAAAAGAAAATGGAGTCAAAGAAGGAAAAGTTAGGAAAAAGAAAAAAGTGCGCAAAAACAATTTAGTATTAAGTCAATCAGTTGTATAATAAACAATTTTGGTTCAGACAGTGTTTTTATTAAGAATAAACAAAATTTCGTATAGTAAATAAATGTTTAAAATGGCCAAGTAAATTTCAACCTGTAGACACCAAAACATAGTATATGAATCAATGGAATGTTGGTCAAATACAGTGTATGGAAATGTGTCAATATGTCGTAACTCTCATCAGGCGCAAACACTTCACATCCATCTGGAGAATCCTGAAACATTAACAAAAAATATTATTCAGTCACATGCTTTGTATTGTAACAACTAAGTGCAGATATTTTTGTAGGGAACAATGTGTAGATAGCTACAATAAAGCTATGTAGAGAAAAAAATGTTAGCCATCTCAATTTTTTGGAAAACCTTTGGAATACTTAGATCCTAATTTGTTTTAAAAAAAAAAACTTACCTCTATGGTATGACGAATCAGTGTTTCTTTAAAATATTCCCAAACGGCCGTGGGCGCGGTCCAGAAATAACGTTTGAAATATAAATGAGTTTTTAAATAGATCGCTAAAACGCAAGCTAACTTTTTAGCGTTAAAGTCCCGCTGCGCCGAGTACTCTAACAGCTGCAGAAGTAAGTTTACTAAGAATTCCTTTTCAGATAAATCGAAGTTTTGAATTATATTCTTATCTCCTAAGTAGTCAGCTGGAAAACAGATACACGTAAAGATGTATTTATATAGGACATTTATTAATACAGCTTACTCCCAAAAGTAAAGTTCATTTCAATGTAAGACCTTTTGTAAACCGTACTAAAGATGGCGCCAAAGTGGTATTCGCAAGATTTTTGTAACTTACTTTTGGGTCGAAACTAAGGTCTTATTTCTAGCGAACCTAAATGCTTTTTAAACGTAGACTTAGATTCCATTTGTGAGACCGCGATCATCCTGATAACATCATCTTCAGTGACCAGCGTGTCAATCAGGATGTGAGGCCTGTCTTCTTCTTCTGGCATCATAAACGGTGGTGATTCATTCTCGCTTAGAGAATGGAAGTAAGACGGTGCAGATATTTGCGTCTTCAATTTAGTCTCACTTTCAAATCCATCATGTAGTAATACGGGCTCAGAAACCACCTTCATATAGTTTTTACTTGAATGATCAGTCATTTCACTAGACCCTGATTCCATTGCGTACATTTTAGACAAGTTCATAGTGATACGTAAATGTTATTGGCAAAGTCCTTAGTGTAAAGAATTATTCAGAACTTTTCGGTATTTTGATCAATGCCAATTAACAAGAATGTCAAATTAAATATATTTTATCATATGTCATAAATAACAAAGTCGGACCTCTTTTAAATGTTTAATTAACAATCAATTACTTAGTTTACAAATTAAAATCCATTTAATATTTACAGGAGCGTTCACAATCATAAGATTTCCTTTTACTTGGATTTAACTGTGGATTCAATGTCAAAAGTGTTCCAATATCGGCCGCCAAGTTTATTTTTTTCATTTTCTTCATCATCACTTTCGCTACTACTGTCACTACTACTGCTATCTTCGACCTTCTTTTTATTTTTACTCTTCTTACTTCTAGTATCTTCTTTATGTCTGACATCTTTCAACTTCTTTTTACTTTTCTTTGTTCTGGATTCTTCTTCACTACTACTACTGCTACTGCTGCTGCTGCTGCTGCTGCTGTCACTGCTACTGCTACTACTGCTGCTTACGTCTCTATTTTTATTCTTCTTTTTCGTATCATGTTTGCTATCTTTCTCTCTGTCATTCTTGCTTTTGCTTTTATATTCTTCATTACTTTTGCTTTTATTTGATTCTTCCTTACTGACTGTGTGAACTTTAGACTTGATGTTTCTATTTGAGCGATCATTGGAAACATCATCCATTTCTTTAGAATGTTTCGATACTTTTTTATTTTCTATTACATTAGATCGTACATTCTCCTCTTTTCTTTTATCGCAATCTTTTTCTTTCTCGTTCCGAATGATCTTTCTTGAATCCTTATTTGTAACAATGTCATCTTCATCTCTTTGTTTCCTATTTTCTCGTTGTTTTCGGTTGTCTCTGTTTAATTCCTCTATGTTTCTTTCTCGTCTCTTATCTCTTTCAGTATTTTGGTCTTCTTTTTCTCTTGTATCTTTATAATTGTTATCATCTCTCTTTTGTCTTATCTTATTTCTATCGGATTCTTCTTCATCTCGTTGTTTTCTTTTTTGTCTTTCAGCATCTTCTCGGTCCCTTTCTCTTCGTTTACCTTCATCAACATCATTTTTATCTCTTTGTCTTGTTTTATCTTTGTCAGTGTTTTCTCCTTCTCTCTCTTTTCTATTGTTTTTGTCTGCCTCTTTCTCGTCTCTTGGTCTCCGCTTACTTCTATCAGGATCTTCGTCTCTTTGTACTCTCTTATCTGTATCGCTTTCGCGATATCTCCTGTGTTCTTCGTCTCTACTAGGTCGTTTAGAATTCACATCCTCTCGATCACTTCTGTTGGTTTCTTTATTATCATGTCTTTTATCATTTCTGCTATCTCTGTCTCCGTTACGTAAATCTTTTTCGTTTTGATTTCTGCGTCTATCACTCTCGTGGTCTCTTTCTCTTCTATTCTCTTCACGATCCCTGCTTCTTTCATAATTTTCGTCTCTATTTCTTCTGTAGCTGTCTTGTCTATCGTCTTCTCTTCTATTGTTTCGTCGCCTGTCACCATCGGTATCTCCATTTCTAAAGTCATCCCTTCGCGATCCTCCATTTGGTCTAGCAAAAGTGTCTCTTTCTGATCTTTCTGGTCTGGAATTCATTCTTCGAGCATCTTGTCCATAAGTATCATAAAAACCATCATGGCCCCATCTGTCTTGTGCTTCTTTATCCTTTTCCTTGGGCTTCTCTTCATTACGTTGAGCTGACTGTTTTTTCTTTTCTTTTGACTTTTTCTTTTTTTCAGCTTTCTTACTTGTATCTTCATCGGATGAGTCTAAAAAAAATTAAAACGCTTATTAGAGAATTATAATGCTGGTATTTCAATGAAATAGTCAGGGTTAATATCAAGTTAATCTTAATCTCGTTTTATTCAACCAACTTAAAGCTCAAGCAAGTATAAGAAGAATTTTTGAGACACGAAATTTAAGACATTTTGCTTATTTACCACTAGAACTGGAGTCACTGGATGAAGAATCGGAACTGCTGGAACTAGAACTGGAACTGCTGGAACTGGTGTCTACTGTGATATTGGTTATTTGTGCGGGGACATTCTGAAAAAAAAATGTGTTTAAATCGTTACACAATCTTACTATTTTAGTGTTGTAAAAGTTTGGATGGATGTTCGTTATAGTTTGTAGCCTAAGCGGCTCAACGGATCTCGATGAAATTTGGCATAGGCGTAGAGGATAGTCTGGAAGAATACATAGGCTACTCACTTTTGTTTTTATAAATGTCACGCGCACGGAGTCGCGGGTGAAAGCTAGTAAATAATATTTTTAAAATAGTAAACTTAATTAACAAACTCATAAAATAAATTGTACCTTAGGCATTTGTTTCAAATGTTCTCGAAGTTCATCTGTTAGACCTCCTAAACCTATAGAAGTGAAGAAATTAATAGAAAACCGAGTATTCTTCGGGTTGTCGCGGGGGAAGAGACCACCAAAGGCCTCTTGCAATGTCCTGAAAAAGAAAATTAGTAAATTAAATTTCAGTTCAAACTCAAACACATTAAAATTAAGTTTGGAGTAGTTCTTATTACAATGATAATATTGCTTGCAACACTTCTATACTGTACTTATCATTATAAATGTTTACTCTACAAAGTATTATAATATTCAAAGATTTCATGTAAGCTCTATTATTATTGAAGCTGAACTACTCCTTAATAGAACTCACGGGTCCTTGAGCCGTTCATTCAATTTCTTCAGCCCCATGTACTCTGCGAGCTCTTGAAACAATATCTTGATGTAAATACGACTCGAACTTGTAGTATCCTCTTCATTCAAACGAACACATTCCATCACCTCCCAACTAATAGAGTCTGTGAACAACAGATGAGCAAAGAACTTGCTCACATTCCTCAGACGGTTTGTATCCAATCTATGTGCAGTAGAATAAGAATCTTTGAAGATTTCTTCAAACGGACCAATGTACATCCGGTTAATATTACAAAATCTTTGTGCTAATAAACCATAAAACTTTTCATATGTCCTCTGCTCCGCACAACAGTCAAGGAACATATGACATAGTTCCACCTCTTGTCCAGGTTTAAGCTGCATTTTCATCAATTTGTGAGCACATTCTTCAAAGTCTAAACTGGAGTTTATAGTAAGATAGATAGTCCGACGTAGGGCCACAAGATTGGTTTCCGTATTATCTATTATCGTCATTTCCTTCTGTTCTTCTTCCTCATCTTCTTCTGACTCGTCGCTGCCTGACTCGCCAGTGCCATCTTCTGCCCCAGACTCAGCATCGGAGCCGAGAATATCTTTGCTTAAAGTTTTGTACTTTTGTTCATTCTCCTCATATTTTTCATCTAACTTGAATACATCTGTAATCAATTGGAAATAAATTGCATTAACCACAGCAGAATATATATAGAAAAATAAAATATGTTCGTTATTCACATACATTTTTAAATATGCTAGAGCACAATAGCTTTCATCAAATTACTTTATTTTATGTTATCAATGTAACTTACTGAGGATATCCTGTGGATCAGTAGCATCATCCAACATCAATAGATGCGTAAACTGTTCCTCTTCAGGCACCAGCTCCAACTCTTCAATCAGGGCAGGATGATCTTTGAAACCATCCTTCCAAACTTGAAACATCACTTCAATCATGTATTGAACTCTCTTATCCAGTTGTCCCTCATGTAGAATGTTCCTCAACATCTCAAATATAGCATTTACTCCTTTGGAAGATACCTCAGTGAGTTTTTGTCCACATTCTTTAAGGAATGCTATAGCTACCTCAACAGAGTCATCAGTCGGAGTCTCAACAAGTAATGTTAACAACTCCAATGCGAGGATCTCATGGGCAACCCTTTGATTAACAAGATGAGCAATAAAAGATGCAGATGATATACATATAGCCTTGTCATTCCTCTTGAAACCTCTTTTAAACTGGATAACCAACCTTTTTAGTAGTAACTCACCAATATTTGGAAACCGAGAGTTTACCGCCGAAACCAACGCTGCGTAAACATTAGTGAATGTCGGCGAAGCAGCTTGCGCCTGGATGACAGATCGACATAGTAAACCACGTCCACGGACAATGTTCTCCTTCAGCAACTCTTTTATAATTATACCGATATTTCCTACGTTGATTTTGTTGATGTGGCCATGTATCGACTTTTTAAGTGCTTCCCAAGCTAACCTCTGATACGCCATAGAAGATTTGTCAGTTATCTGAGCTTGCATCATTCGAAGACGAGCCGGTGGAATATAAGCGCCGCCGGTTCTTGTATTTAACATATCGGTATCCTTTGCTTTCTTTTCCGGTGGTGGCTTCTTTTCATCAATTCTGGACGCTTCATTTCTACGTTTATCGGAAGCGTCAGGGCTTCTGGAATGTCTCCGTTTACGTCTTGAGTCCCTATCGCGATCTTTTTTAGCATCACGATCACGGCTGCGAGATCGTGATCGTGTACGAGCTCTTTTTGACCTCTTTTCTTTACGATATTCCTCGTTATCATCGTGTTTGTCTTTTTTACTCTTGTTTTCCTTGTTCTCCATTTTTTTGACTAGACTAATAATAAAATCTTAACTGTACACCTTTTCTTGAATTCCTATAACTATAACGTTAACTTTATTTTATGTGGAAGTTTAGTATAATTTTACTTTATTGTACAATGCAATGTGATCAAGACAAGATCAAAACACTTTGCCACTTTGCAGCCATTTTGTTTTCTTTTGACAGATTGACATTTTTAAAAAAGACATGTTGACATGTAGTATTGCCACATACTAATAAAAACGAATTGCAAAGAGTAAATACTTACCTATGGGTAGTTCATAGTAGATTTTGAAATAAAGCTGGCCAATCGATATTAATTAAAAAAAGATTTATCGTGAATAAATCATCTAATTCTTATACTCCTTTGTCATCGCCTCTGTCTTTTCACTGGTAGTTCACTTTACCTTGGTCGCTGCCTTTGCCTTTGATCACATTGGTGCAAGAGAACACCTTCAACATTTATGATCTCGTCAGTATATTTCATAGACTACCTTGATATGTGATACCCTTGATGGAACTTCGCTGCGTCTACAGATGTGACCAAAATATTTAATGCGGACTTAATTAATACCAATTTAAGTAAACCGGTATTGCGAGAAAAGAACTAAAACTGGAATATCCTTCAACATGCAACCAGTTGGAGCCAATAGAAACACGTAAAGCATATTTAATTGTTCAAAATCTTTTTTGTAAAACACATCAAAGGCAAAATTCATGTTGAAACAGACAAAATATTACATAGCACCGTTTAACGTTATGAGGAGAAATATTCCTTGTACAATAAATGTTGGGTCTTGCATAACAAATTTTGAATTTTTAAGATTTAGCAGATCCTGGATTATGATTTGGTCCTTTTATGATTTGCATCTCTATTTGAGCAATTAAATATAATTTAGCATAAATCATTTTTTTTTCTAAAAAAAACATCACTTTCACGTTGTGCTGTGCATTTGAACAAATGGTTTTTGCACAAATAGTAATATTTGTTTTACGTTTTTTGATGCAGGTAGATATGATCTAGTTCCTAGAGGAACACTAGAGTGTTACGGATGTCTTTGGGCGTCATCAATGACGACAAGTGTTCTCCTTTGCCCCTCTTTTAAAAGGAAAATATAAACTATGCGACTCCTATAGTAAGCATAAGGCATTTTTCTCCTCATTAACATCGGTACATTAAGGTTTTTTTAAAAGTTACGTGCGGTGAGATCGTAAAAAATCAAAATCTTTCATTTTTTAACTTTGTTTATTCATTCTTCAAAAGTAATGTTATCCAACAGCTTTATCTACAGGAAGTACAGAGCAGAGAAGCAGAATACATGGGAACTTAAGCGTTTCATTTGATGACTTAATGGGTGTTAAATCTCACTTAGATGCCTAATTCTTCCTCGTTATATTATTAGATTTTCATTGTGATATTCTCTTAAAAGGTAAACAGGGTTATGTAGGAAATGAAACAAACCATATTATATTAGTATTTATGACTTTATTCAATACGACAATGAAACTACAAAAGTTGCCTGCACTTCAAACAGCATTATTATACTTCTCACAAACTGAAGCATATTATTAATGAGAAAATATAAAATTAACGTACATAATAACACCGTAAGAGATAATGTAGTGACTAATATTAGAGAAACATAATATAATCATCTGAAAGCTATATGTCGCGTCGCTATACATGATTCGTCTCGATCTCGCGGATCTAAAAGGCTACACAATATCCAAGGCAAATTGGTCAGAGGTTTTCACGTCTTCACCGAAAAACAAGCTAGTAACTTACAACTAGTTCACTTACTCGAGTAGCGTTAGTCAGTAACATGGAGTAAGCAGAAAGCTGTCGCCCGCCGCTCACGTGCCAAGCAGTACGCCTCGCCCCCGCCCCTCTGTATGTACACGACGCCCGATCAATGCCAAAAATATACTATCAAATACAAAAACCCTCTCGCTTGCACCGCGAATACCCCGCGTGTCCACCTCCTCGAGCCCTACCGGAATAGAGACAATCTCGACAATCTCGTAACCTACGTATCGATAACATTTGTGCCTAACCGAATAATCGATACGATATCACTAGAGCAAAAACATCACAGAAGCGACTCGCGCCCACTGCGCCCACCGCATCCAGTCCGCGGCCGCGCCCTCCCTACAGTCCATTAAAAAAATATAAAACGCTATGAAAGGCAGTTTCATATGTCATACGTTTTATTGATAAATCCGTGAGCCGGTTAACGTTTACTGAGGCACTTCCGATGTTAACTAAGTTTTCGACAAATTCAATGTGCTTGCTGAGATCATAACATGGGAAGTGTTTGACAACGTGGATAAAACTTGGACTAGATGTGCGACTATGCTGGCAACACTGGGTGCACACTGCGAACTCCCTCTTCTAGTTTAAACAATTACATTATTTAATATTTAAAGTTAGCAAAAGCTTTAGATTAGAATTAGCGATGGGTTAGAATCGGGAGTCTTCACCCGGGGTTGCCATGCCGCGCTCGTTGCCGCGAACAATTCACACAAACCGATGCAGTCACAAACCGACAAATCCGATGGAAAGTTCCCGAAGGGTTTCCCTAGCGTAAGGCGATTAGTAAAATTTTAAACATGAGATAAACTTAAATTTAGATTATACTTCCCCTAAAAATACTGTTGCGTATGTTATAATATTAAAAATAATGATATAAGACTATTACTAACGATTAGAAATAGTACTAAGCCCTTCCTCATCCCGCGTACTGTTGCTAAGTGCCGATAGCGCGGTACCACACCTTACTGACAACATTCATTTATTCATCCCAACAAAAGTCCTAATAACATAACTCGGATAGGTATAATTCAATTAAAAATAGGCCATAGAGTAATTATAAAATACTACAAACATAAAAATTACCAAAAAAAAAAGTTTTTACTAGAGTACGTAGAAATGAGTGGAGGCAAACATCCCCTAGGGGGTGGTAAATAGAAAATCATAGATATTTAAACACTGCCGCCTCGTATTCCATACATTTGTTTACCAGCCAAAATTCCCACTGCATCGTTATACCTCAGGGCCTCAACACACTAGTAATTTTCACTAAATAACATCAAAACTTCAGCAATAGCTTAGGTGTAACTTTAAAAATAGAACGTCTGTGCTAGTTAAGTTAAATTCTTATACATTAATTAGTAAATGCTTACTAGTGCCTCACTGGCCTTGTACCATACATACCGTTAAGCTGCCGTGAATCTACGAAGGTCAAATATCAAGGAAAAGTGCCGTGCATACATTTGAATTACATAACGCGAGTAATTCATGATAAAATAATAGGAACATTGAGAAAAATAATATAAATAAACATAAATGAATATAAGCTTAAAAGATATAACATAATTTTCAGTCTCAAGTGGATCAACAGCACCGTTCCTTGCAGCTGCAGCGCGTGTGATGTGTGACGTCACGGACTATGGCCCGGCCTCAGTCGTTACTTCTACTTGGGCCTTTTTTGCTAAGATGTTACAAACAGTAATACACCAATGTTGTTTGTTGGTGTTAAGTCCAGTTCTCCAGTTACGGGTACATCGAGACACAAAAACTCCGAATAAACAACTTCGTTAATGTGGTCTATGGCAAGAGTAACATTTCAAACTTCGAACTTCGAATGTTGTCTTTGGTGTTTGTGTATCGATGCAACCTTGTGAGTATTGTGTGGTTGTTGTGAGTTGAGTGGTTGTTGTGTGGTTGTTATGAGTTGTTGAGTTGTGTGGTGTAGTGTATGTGTATGCGGCGGCAGCAGACGGCGAGGTGGGCGCGGGGCCTAGCCCGAGGTGGGCGCGGGCTCGGTCTCGGCGCGCGCATTCTTGTTCTGTCGCACAAGCTCGGCGCGTCGCTCCTGTACACAACAAAAAAACAACATATTTTACTTTTTTATATTTGCTTTTCATAAAAGTAATTTTATTCATTTGTGATTTTGTGATTGAGTGGTAATCACTTTTTGAAAAAGAAAAATTATGTTGTTTTAAAATTTCTGAGTTTTTGGGTTCATAAGTAGTTCCAGTGCTTTAACAACTAAGAGTGAAGAGGTTGTAAACTAGTGAATGTAAAATCTACAAATATTAGTATATCAATATTTTTCACTTAAGTGTATTAATAAAAAAAATGTGATGTACTTGATGATGATGATGAATGTTTCGATATGGATACAAACCTCCTTTTTAACAAAGTCCAATTTCTTTTGTATCTCCTTTTCCCTATTCTGCTCAGCTGTGGTGAGCTTAACCTCGATGTCTTTGGTGATCTCCTCCATCTTGGCGGTGATGACGGACCGCACCTCGGCTAGCTTATTGTTCTGTTGCGCGATTGTGTCGTATGACGAAATAAATAAAAAAAAAAACAATGGATAAACAAAAAGTCATGCATTTAACAAGAGTAATGAACAAGTTGGTTCTATGGATTATTTACTCATAAAGTTTGAATCACATTTTTATTTAAACATTAATAGATTTAAATTTGTTCCACTGAACCAATTTGTATATGATGAATCGAGATGACTAAAAAAATAAAAAATCGACAATATAATGAATACTTGGATGCACTACTTCCTATACTATTTATTAAATCTAATTGATTCTACATGATATTTTTTTTCTTATACACCCTAGATCTAAAACTGGGATAGTATCGTGTATGTGTGTAAGGAGGAGGGGGGGGGGTACTAACATGGTTGCGCAGCTTCTCCTTCTGCTCAGCTTCCAGCTGCAAGCGGCGGTCTGCCGCCTGCTGCAGCTTCTCCTGGATAGCGCTCTCCAGCTGCTGGAATCTCTCCCGGTTGCCATCGCGCACCTTCTGTACCTGCTCCTCCTACACCACAGTATAGAAGAGTTAAAATTGAACTTAGATAGCCTAGTTCTTTCCGACTATCCTCTATATCTATGCCAAATTTCATCAAGATCCGTGCAGTAGCTTAGGCTACTAATAAAAATCCTTCCATCCAAACTTACGCATTTATAATATTAATAGGATAGTTGAAGAGTGCTTTGGACAATTTCAGAGATAAGAAATCAAGAACTCTGAACTCTAACGTTTTCCAACGCGTTATAGTTATAAAGAGTAATATTATAAAACGGAAAGATTTGTATGTTTGGACTTTTGTATATCTTGAAATAACTCTGAAATTACTGGACCGATTTCGAAAATTCTTGCACCATTAAAAAGCTATGTTATCACTGAGTTACATAGGCTACATTGTTAATATTTTTTTATTTCACGCGGGCGTAGTCGCGAGCAACAGCCAGTAAGTAATATTTACATGTTCGCGCAGGCGTTCAAGCATCTTCTTGATGTTCTCATCGCGCTTGTCAGCTGCTGTGTTCATCTTCTCTTCAATCGCCTTGTAGACCTCCGCCGTCTGCTGCTCCAGGGACAACCTGAGGAACGTACCTCACAATGCATACATACGAAATACAGATTTGAATACACCTGAATCAGTTCATACCATCTTTAGCATGTGATTAGAACTTTACGGATGTAGAGGTACACCGGTATAGGTAGAACGAGGAAGAGATGGAATTGCGTGCAAGGTGATATAATCAAGAGGTAAGAAGATGATGATGGAAGATAGATTAATCTGAAGAAGGAAAGTTGATGCACCGATTACAGGAGTAGAATATAGACGTGGTGATGATGATGATGACCTATTTAATCCTTATCATTACTTAACATCAAGTGGCATCGTAAAAATGTAGTTTTCTGATATGCTAGTAAATAAAAAAATCTAGGATCATTTGATACTTTTCCAACATTCTTTATAAAATGTTATATAAACTAAAAAAAGGTAAAAAGCAGACATCAGTCTGTGTTTAATGGTGCAGCATTTCGCATCGAAATTATTCAGGTTTCTTTAGAGACTGCTCGGCGGAAGTCGGTCGAGGGCCGGCGCATTGTGCGGCCCGACCCTGTACCCTCCCCGCACCCCGCCGCCCCCATGCACCAGAGATACTTTTGCCCTACATAATACGAATGGGCACATGTAACTTAGATCTATAAATATCTCATGTGAAAGTCTAAATAGAGAAGTTTCTAAAAAAAAACATTTATGTAAAGCCAGTTTATAGAAAGTGTTATAAATGGTTTAATATTCAATATCCTGGAATACGAGAGAAAAGATTTCGTAAAGCCATATAACATATACTCAAAAAAGATATCATCTACCTACAGAATATTTAAAACTCGCGTAAACGTCGAAAGGAAATTCATTTAATCTCCGGTATCCAAAATATCCTTACTTTACCTCAATACCTTGTTACTTTACGCTACGAAAGTTTGACATTACTACTCAATCAATGCAGTAAGTGGTTTCCCTTAGTGTAGACATGATATCTTACCTGGTCTTCTCAACACCCTCGAGGTGATCCTTGAGGCGCGCGCGCAGCTCGCTGATGTAAGCCTCGCGCTTCTCCTCATGAGAGTCCATCTTGGCGTCGAGCGCCTCCTTAGTGGTGCAGATAAAGTTGTTGGTCTGCTCGCTGCGGATACGCGACGCCTCCTCGATCTTGGCCATCTTCTGTGCGATCGCAGCCATCTTGCTTGCTTCCAGGCTCTGGAATGGAAGGGGACTAATAAAACAAAAAGAAAAAAAATCTATTTTACTTAAATAAAATGTATTAAATACATTTAAGACAGAAGTAACACAAGTACACAGTGTACAGTAGTAATTATTCATTACGGCAGCAAGCCCACCGGCGCTGTAGACACATTACGTAAAAGGAGCCACTGGAGTGGCTCTCAAAGGACCAACAACGCTACAATGTTGCGCCCTTCAGCTGAAAGCCGTAATTTAGCCGCCGGAAAACAGAGAAAATACGCTGCAATTCACACAAATATACCTCGTTCATATTGTCCTTTCCACCGTTGTGCTTTTGTTTTGCGAACAGTACTTCATTGTTAATTTCCTAATGCCTACCGTATTTCCTTAAAAGGGATTAAAAAGAGGCTTTCTGTTTTGTATCAAACCAGGTCGTAACTATCCATACAAACATTGTATGTAATAAGGAGGGATGACTTCTAAAGTGGTATAAAGTAAGAGTTCCTATGACATTAAACAAACAGCCCTCGCGTTCAAGATACAAGGGTCTTGTCACGTAATATACGTAATTCCTCACACATCACTTGCTTTCAACGCCACGTCACCGAGCGGAGTATGGGGCTGCAAGTAGCGCCTCAAGCGATGCACGAGGAACGCTTGATGATATACTACGACTATTATTTTACAAAACAAGCAATTATTACTAGTTCTTTCGATAATTTACTTATATTGAAATAGATAAAGATGTATTTTGGGCTGAATTTTGTTGACATATCACGGTGTATACAAAATATAAGCAGAGTGACAGAAAAAAATATTCTATAGAAATCAGTTTATGATAAGACGTTTGAAGATGCAAGCATAGAACATACTTATAATACCCTAGAAGGGACTCGCAAAGATGTTATTCTAGCTCTATTCTATTCTACTAACTATTGAGAAATGATTACATCAATCTCACAGCTTTTGACCGAATACGAAAATAAAATCAATCCCACAGTATACCGTGGATACCTATGGCATCCATATTGACTGTATGGATATAACTTACACGTCTCCTTTCCTCAGCGGCCTTAAGTTTCTCCTGAATTTCCTCGACGGAGGGCGTCTTCTCCGGGGAGTCGGCGCGGCGCGGTGCCGGCACGCCAACCGGCTCCGCGAGGATCACCTCGTACGCCAGACCGCCCTTCGACATCTCCTGGCAGCGGATCTCGGTAGCTGGCACACAAAATAACTAAGTTAAACAATTGCCCAAGAATATTACTTAGTTAGTTTATATATTTTAACAAATATATCGGCGAATATTGTGACAAAAAGTTGATTTAGTTAACTATACTAATATTATAAAGAGGAAAGATTTATAGTTTTCGATGTTTGTACATATTGAAATAACTTAAAAACTAATTGACCGATCCCGTAAATTCTTGCACCATTAAAAAGCCATGTTATTACTGATAAACTAAGGCTTTTTCTAATACACACGCAGGCGAAATCGCGAGCAATAGCTAGTATTTAATAACTTTATATTCTTTTATATTTCGTGTTTTGAAAAATGCGATATTTCCTCTTGTTATACCAATTACTATGATAAATAAAAAAATACCCAAAAACTAAGAATTGAACATTTCTTTTAATTAAAGAAATAACTCTCTGTAGAACAAATTTGAACTAATTTCCTTCTACATTTAGTAAACAACAATGGCCATTTGAAATTGCAGTTAAAACAAATGGCTTTTCAGATCAGATAAATGTGAAAATGGCCTCGCTCACTGCGAGCATCATTAAAACTATTGCTGTATGAAACGGTTATTGTTCACTTTGAAAAGATAATGCACGCTATTTCTATACATTTAAGCTATATCGACTGTTGAGGATACAAACGCATTAGTATGAACAATCTATTTTTCATGCTATTCTACTCTAAAAAAGAACAATAAAATAACATATATGAACTTTATAATTAAGTAATTGAGTTTATTAAATAACTTGTATTGTGTATTAAGGGACCTAAAGTAATAAAAACTATAAATATGATGGTTATAATCCATTCAAGATTTGGTAAATGTACCCCAATTCTTAACCAATGTATTAAAAATATGGGGATAAATGAAGTATCTATTGTTTTTTAACTTGCTTCGTATTTCTTTGAATGAATAGAATTTTTACATAAAGGATAACATATCGGTATAACTGAAGAGGTTATGTGCAAGGCGTGAAAAATCGGGGAATAACCGATACTCGAGAGACGGGGGTAGGGACGGCGTCTGCCGGAAGGGGTTGGCGGATACTTGAGCACGGAAACGACGACTTCTGAAGCTTGTGGTGCGAATATTTGAATAGGGGGTGTAAATTACGTTATGCCTTGTGGGGTTTTAAATTGAGAATGAAGAATTTTATACTTGTTTAAGGCTATGTGGTACCTATTATTACGGCAATTTACTCTTAAAAATAGAAATCATGTATCACATTTCGTATATGGGTGTTATTTATAAATTTTGTTAAGTTACGATATTAAACCAAGACAGTTAAGTAATATTTAAATAACGTAAATTTAATAACAAGCAAACAAGGCCCTTATCTAATAAGCGAGTGTCGTCACGCCCTTTAAATTAACTTAGAAAGATAAGCACCCCACATCGCGCACATAATTTGTGGTCATTAATTTACTTTATCTATACTATTATAATAAAGCATAAACACACACCTCTTTGTTGCCTAAGATGTCAGCAATTACAGTATATTTTTGAATAATTCTTTTTAATAAAAAAAAGCCTTACACTTACCTTACGCTTTAGGCTATATATTTTCACGCCATTAAACTTAGGGGTAAATGTTTCGGATAAAAACTCTAATGTGAGAAAGAGACCATAAGTTGCTGCCAACATCAAGGAAGCAAGGTTGCCATGGTTTGACATCATGTCATGTCACTTTGACATTTGGAATTGATAATTTGACAAATGTAAACAATAAAATGAAATTATTATAATTTTATGCGGATGAAGTCGCATGGGAACAGCTAGTGTAATAATAATATTTTAGATACATATTTACCGACAGCTTAGTACTGTGCATTGTTTGCTAAATGTGTAAACATATAATTATAATTATGAAATAGTAATAATAAATCCAAAAAATCTATATTAACATTATCTGAACTTTTTAAACACAAACTTCATTAATATTATATCTTAACCGGTACCGGTACAGAGACCATTAAATTATTTAAAAGTTTGTTTATAATTATAGATCGATACTGGCAACTTAGAACTGCAGCATCAAGGTCGGTTTAAGGTAAACTTAATGGAAGGCGAGGGATATTTGCAAAGGGTTTGCAACACCCCTGTGACTCACGCAGTTATTGCGGGGTGCATTACACTGTGCAATAAAATTATGACATCATACTTGTGCTTTATTTCAAAATCTACACTTGTAAGCTTACCGGGTAAGAACTTTCAAGTACGTATACCTTATTACAGACGTAGAAATTAAATAGGATTTTAAGAATAACACGAAAAGCATAAAATAAATTCCGTACATCTACATGCAAACATGTTTGAAAACAGAATTATAAAATATTGCTAAAAACAAACGAAACGAAAACCGAATTGAACAGGGAAAAGTATGAAAAAGAGGCTAAACTTCACCCCAATCAAAAGACGGCAGACCTCATGTAAACTGGAATAACATGAAAGGAAATTTCATGTAATGGCTGTTTCGGATTACTTTGTGAGAATTGTAGAAGGGAACTTTTATAAAAAAAACGACATCTTTTGTTAAACAGAAATTGATCTACCCTCTTATTCGGAGTCAGAAAACAGCTAGTGGAATTCTAAAAACAATTTATTCGAAAACCGTTTTGTTCCTGTTCCAAATGCTAAAGTTGTAGTAATAGTTGCTTTATAGCCTAGTAGCCACTAACTAAAAAAAATAAATAAAAAGTGAAACCAACAAAACAGATAAAAAATCAGGCAAACAGCACTTACAGTGCAAATGGATAAAAAAATATAATGACGAAAATCAAATAAGCGACTAGATAACTAAAACGACTAATCCATATCTCTGTATCCACTTACTGATGAATTTGACTTTCTTGGGTTGCTTGGTCCTAGGCTTGCCGATGGGTTTCTTGACGGGTGCCGAGCGGCGGTGGGCTGAGGATAAAAAGAAGTCAGAGGTGTCCAGCTACGACGCCAACACTCTCATGAAGACCAATACCCACTGGCTTTGAAATACGAGGCCTACGAGCTTAGTGTCAAATCTGCCTGGTTATTACATTATTGTAAGTAATCTTTTTTAACAGGAATGTGTGAAAACATGTATTCAAATGAAATAGAAGGCATTACTATTTACTAAAAAAAATAATCAATCTAATACACATTTTGCCAAACTCGTATTATGACGCATCTAAAATTCCATTTCCTGCCATTCGGCCTACAGAATTCACTACAAACATATCAAATGGCTTGGAGGCGTCATAAAAAATGTAAACCAATCGCATTGGGCCGAGTATCGAAAAACCATTATAATCGAATCGAGTCAACTAATGTTTATTCGGAGAGCATTCGCGCCGGGCTAATGAAAGGCTCGTGCAGAGTGTTCGCGTGACAACACAGTACCGACAACCGAGTATCGATTTTGTGTAGTCAACGTGCACGAGAGGGGCTTTAGTTGTCGCCGACAACGGCTATTGCGTGGTAATAACGGACGTAAGCCGGCTACGATATGGCTGTTGCGGTGACTCCAACACAATGTCCGACATTTTATAGCCATCGCAAAATTGTGTTCGTATAGAAATTGCACACCTGTCCTTTCAAAATACATAATCACTAATTTTCGTTTATATCCATTTAAAAGTAGATCTTTGCAAATACATTATCACATATCGTCTTATGTATTTTAACCATATCTAAAGTCAGACAAGTATCAAATACACATATGATTTTCGCTGAACTTCGTCGTTTCTTGTTCGTCACGTAAGCATCATCGTAAGCAATAGTTGTGAGGTAATAAGGCGCCGGCTCGACAGCACGAGACGGAGGACGGGACAGGGGGAGGGCCGCACGTGAGAGGAATCGCAACGCAGAATCCCTCAGATGAGGATAATCCCTCACGCCGAGCTCGACTTTACTCGGCCGACTGGGACCCCGACTTTAATTTGAAAAGTGAGTCGGATTTGATGGTGATGTGAATTACGTCTACGTTTTACTATTCCAATCTGTTCTAATTGCGACCAGCTATTACATGCGCAGATTCAAATTAAAATTACTTATGACCGTTTTTATAACGTTCAATATTTCTTTTAGCTTAAAAACTTTGAACTGAAACTAATATGAAATCGCAGGTAGTTAGCTGATTGACCTGTGAACTCACGATGCGGTCAGTATTGGCAGAGTGCGGTTGCTCTTACGTTCCACTTTAATCATCGATTTACATAACTTATGAAGTCACTAGTGTAGAATACCTAAAATCTACGAGAGTTTAGTAATACATCCATAATGTTAAACATAAACAAAATCAAATTACTACGACTGTTTATGTTTTCAAAATAATTTCCGTTGCCACCGAGACCATACGTAACAAGAGCACCGGAGAAACTTGATAAACATTTAGTCGTACAATGTGTCAAATAGAAAGTTAATTCTGAATACCAATGAAAACTTTATCTACAAAAGTAAAGAATAACACCAGACAGTGTCTGAAGAAAAGAAATAATTCTAAAAGGGAAAAAGCACATGTAGGAAAATTGATTGTAAATATTTAAAAAAGTACACGAAGGGCGGTGGGCGACGCTACGGCGCCACACGATACTCCATGAAAACTGATAATATATTTAAAGTTGGGTATTAAAACGCGCAAGGGGAAAGCCAGAAAGAGAATTTACTACCTTTGGGAATACGGGCGTTGCCACGTAAGAGTTTTAAATGCGATGCAAATGCGACCGCCGTGTCGAACATAATGGAGAGTGGCGCAGCGCATAGGAACTCCAGCTACAGTACACTGTTTGGGGTTTGTACAGGGTTGCTACTTGATCCGTTTAGTCTATTGACAAAACCGGTACATGATAAATTTGAAACTTTTCCAACCATGCTAAAACTCAAAAATAATAACGGCAATTTAGGATAAGTAGGAGTACTAGATATTATATTGCTTAAAGAGCTGAAAATATTACAATAAATGGTAAAACGCAAGTAGCAGCCCTGACAGGCGAACATTAAGCG